CACAGCAACTTTTCATTTTATCCCTCATGTGTCTATCTGTCTTATAAGGTCTTTCACAACATTTATATATAATGAGATGTTCTGTTGATGGGAAATTATTAAGAAATTAATTTCTCAGGGGAAAAAAACCCCATAACTTTTCCTGTGTATATTCACAGCTTCACACACACAGAGAGAAATGTAACTATGAATCAAGATGTTTGCATATAGGTGTACATTTTTATTTCTGCTATCTATAGCAGCATGAAATTGGCAGCCACTGTTGATTACACAAGAATGACAATGATGAAGGGTGTGATACTAAGTGTAGCTGGTACATATTCAGACCTGGAGGCAGGCAGTGCTCCTGAAGGTATCAGAGCTTTGCAGGCACTAACTTGCCTGATTAAGGAGGCAGCCCTAACAATACACTGACTGGTGATGTTGGATTCCAATCTTCCTGATTTGAATATTTCAAGCAAGTTGCACAAAAAGACGAGCAGCCAGACCAGAGCTTTTCAGTAGTTGGCTGGTTTGTTTATTCCACACAACACTCCTCTCACACAAGATGGAGTGAATTACAAGACATTCATGTACTAAGCACGTTGTTCTGCAGCATGTGGCCACATGCTTTGCACAGAAGAGGGGGTTGCACTCTTCAGAGTTCATAAATCTAGCATGGACACAATTTCAGGGGGGCTGTCCATGTTTTCTTTTTCAGATGCACACATGGAAATCTAAGATATAAGCACAGCTAGATATGAGCATTATGATATGACAAAATAAACAGTGTTAGACTGTGACAGAGGTGAGAAAAAAATCAATCCCAAAAGCACTTAGCCTTGTTTGCTCAGCAGTACTTATTGACAGCTGAGAGAATAGAATGAGTGGAAATGAAATTTTCAGAGCTCAGTACACAGTGATGAGATTAAAGTCAGAAGACCTAGAGAGGGACCATCGGCATAAAAATGCCTTAATAATGTAGAATGCGATGTTTACAGCATCCTCTTTCCTATTATAGCTCTGCTGGTGACTAAGCCTTGCCTGGTGCACTGACCTTGGCTGGCTGCCACCTGACAGAACCCAGCCAGACACTCTCTCACTCCCCCTCCTCAGCACAACAGGGGGAGAAAATATGATGGAAAAGTTCATGGGTCAAGATAAGAACAGGGAGATCACTGGTTAGTGTCATGGGCAAAGCAGACTTGACTTGGGGAAGTTAATTTCTTTTATTAGCAATTAACAACAGAGTAGGATAATGACAAATAAACAAAATTGAAACCACCTTTGCTCTCACTCCCTTCACAGATTTACCTCATATTCCTCAGCCGTGCAGTGGGGTGGGGAATGGGGTTTGGGGTTCTTCACCTCCACCACTCCTTCTTCACACAGTTCCTCTGTTCCAGCAAGTTCCTTACCATGGACAGAGTGCTTCACAAACTGCTCCAGTGTGGGTCCTTTCCATGATATGCAGTCCCTCAGTAACAGACTGCTCCAGTGTGATTTCTGCCAGAAAACCCATTCCTGCACGGATCCCTCTCCAGAGTCACAGCTCCTGCCAGAAGTGTACTCCAGGATGGGATCCCCATGAGCTGCAGGTGGAAATCTGCTCCTCCATGGACCCCCATGGGATGCTGGAGCACAGCTGCCTCACCATGGTCTCACCAGAGGCTGCAAGGGAATGCCAGCTTTGGTACCTGGAGCATCTCCTGCCCTCCTTCTCCACTGACCTTGGTGTTGGCAGTTTCTCGTTCTCAGTTTTCTCACTCCTCTTCCTCATGGGTGCTGCAGAGTGCATTAAATATTTAGTAAAATTTCTTCACTGAAAAGCTGGTCAGGCATTGTAACAGGCCACCCAGGGAAGTGGTGAAATCATCAACACTGTATGGTTCAAAAACATGTAAATCTGTCACAGAGGAGCACAGTTTAGTTGTGACCATGATAGTGCTGGGTTAATGGTTGGACTTGATGATCTCAGAGGATATTTCCAACCTTAACAATTCTGTGATTCTGTAAGACAGATGTCAGCCAAGAACAAATAAAATGCTACATATTATGCATTTGGATTTGGTAAGTGAGCTTAGGTTCACAGAAGTCTAAGAACAGAAGATGTTTCTCATCAGAAGTGATTCATTTCCTATTATGCATTGGGACAAAAAAATGAAGGAGACCTGGAGTAACTATGTCCCTATGGAGAAGTTCAGTGAAAAGCAGTAAAAAATTGCAAAACAAGTCACTATTTGAAACCTCTAGTTACACACATACAAAAGGCAACAAAATAATGAAGAATAAAATTGTACTTGATGCCAGAAAGAGAAAGAAATAAAACTAGCTAATAAAATACTTGGAGAACATAAAAATCAATAAACTGAGAAAACTAGTGCATGAAAAGATTGGGGAGGAAAAAGAGAAAAGAAGGTACTTGCTTAAAGAAGCATCATTAAGAGCACAAGTACAAACTACAGCAGGACAGAGAGGTGATAGGAAATGTAGAAAAAATCCCACTTGGTTAATTCCTGAGCTCTTCACTGCCTCCAGCACATGACAGGTATATACAGACTGTGGACACAAAATCAAGGAGCTGACAAGTTATCATTAACAGCAAAGACTTCACAAAGTCAGAAAGAGCAGGTCACAAAGACATCACAGGTGTTACAGTAATGAGAGGAGAACCAAGGAAAGCATTATTTTCTCATCAGAGAGGAAAAGTTGTGACAAATTGATGCCAGGAAGGTTAGGCAACACTTAGAGCTGCATCTTCAAACTTAGGAAAATCGAGCTCTTCACTGAACTGGCAAATACTCTTGGGACATCTGCTCCATTTCCAGAGTCTGTAGGAAAATTGTTCACCTTCATTTCAACCCTGGTGTTGAAATTTGTGATTTTAAACAAATATTGTTCATAATCTAAAGTCATATTCCAATTTATGAGGCTCTAAACATAATGCTTTGTCACCATTTTTTCCATATTCAGTGAAGAGAAAGAGGCATCACAACACCTGCTATTTCCAGAAGACAAATTGTTCATAGATTAATCAGAAAGCAGACATCATCATGATTACAAAGAGTGTCCTATGAACAATGTGAGTGAAAATCCACACAATAAACAGGAGCATTTTCATCTATAATCACATCTGGTGCTAAAAAGCTCAAGTGACATTCGGTCAACTGTGCATTTGACTAAATAGTCAATCTGAAACAGCAGTGTCACGCTCCCAGGCTTTTTTAAAAATGTTGTACTTGTGACAATGTGCAAATAGTTGACTCCAATTCCCATCACTTTTTAGTAGCTCTCTCACAATGATTATTCAACAAACAGTCAGCATTTTCCTACACGTTTTGGCAGTCTAAAATACCTGCCTTGATTAAATTTTCTTTCAGTGCAAATAAAAAGAGTATGGTCACCAAAAATGTGCTCATAATTAACAGGGAGGTGAGAGAAATCATGATAAATATAAAAACATTTCAAGTTGCTTATTTTTAAGACCAAATTGTGATAAGACACCAAACACACATTTTGAGTTGTTTTTTGGGTTACACCAAGCTGCCTATCCCATACAAAAGCAGCATGACAGAAAATATTTAAGTGATTTATTTCTGATTCTCAAATACTCAGCAGACCAGCTCATCAGCCCAAGAAGCATGGCACACATGGCTCTGGTCATGGCAGGCAGAGAGGAAGGCACCAAAGCCCACACCAGGAGCTCCACATATGACAAAACCCTGCCATTTACCAGTCATAACCAACAGTGAAAGTACCTGGAAAAGCTTTATTGATGTCCCAGCCTTTCTTACAACCAGCCCCATAGCCACATTATTCTCTTTGGCCTGATAACTTCCATTAATCATACACAACAAGCCTAAAAAGCATAAGAGCAGTTTTATTCCAGGATAGCCCATGTCATTGCCAGAGCACCTCATTTCAGATCTAAGTCTGCTCAGAATTTCTACGTTAACAAAAGTGCTGACACATTGCAGGTGACTGGGCCAATTCCACCAAGTACAAATTAAAGGTGAAAATAAAGACAAGAGTGTGAAAACCATAGTTTTCAGCCAGGACAAATTATCACAGATAGCTTCAGAGAGCTTTCTCCCCACACACCATCATCTCCCTGTCTAGCTCTATCTTTTCTGTCTCTATGAGATCTCACCCTTCAACATCTCTCTTGGGGCAAAGGAATTAAGGAAAAATTACATTACATCCTAATGATCACAGCACACATGCACTGTGATTCCCAGAACCAGGCTGCTCCACAGCCTCTCTTAATTTTAACAGCCTTGTCATCCTTGGGTGTGGCTGCAATGATCCAGCTTCTCAAAAAGTCACGGATTGCTGTAGCTGTCCACAAAAACAATCCATGCTCATTTACCCCACTGAGAAAACACCAGGTTTGAACCTGACTGGGCAGTTCCTTAAGCAACAAGAGACCTTCCCTCTATTTCAGAAGCTTCAAGTCACAAATGACCTCTTGACATCGCCTTGGACTAAGGCACTGCTGCGGATTTCACTAGAGCTACAAAACACTTTTCCTCCCTAGCATCATTTCCAACCTATTTGCACTGCTTCCAAGCTGTCACTTACTTCTCCCAGAGGTTTTACACATGAAAAGGGCCTTTCCCTTCCTGCAGAAGGCATGATGATGCTGCACACAGCTCTGAGAGCAACCCACCATGGACATCCAACACCACAGGAAAGGCTTTGCTTGTCCACCAAGCCTGGAAACCAGCATGGCCTCTGCAGGTCCTTTTCCTTAAGGCAGAGAGCCATTCTTCATGCCTTTCTGACTAAAATGAAAGGCTGGAGTGATGTCAGCAGACATCCACGTCTATTTAGAAGTGATAAAGTGCAATTAAAAGGCACTGGGATATGCTCATGCCTAAGAATGCTTATGGAACAGAGATAACCCTGCAGAAACAAGCAGGAAAAGGCTCCTCAAAACACACATTTCAGTTTAGTTACTGCTGCATTAGACCTGACCAATGAAAACTGAAATTAACAGCCACTCTGTGGAGGTTTTTTTAGCTTGGGGACAGAAGATGAAAAGAAATAAATTGTGTGGTTAGGGTTGTCTTTTTTTCCTTTGTTTTAAACAAGCACACCACCTGCACCTTATACAACTTAACATTTCTGTTCTCAGTAAAACCATGATGTGATCTCAGCTTCTCAGAAATTGGTGAAAAAACATTTCCCAAATAACCACAAAAATCCTTCCAGTAAATATTCTCATGTGTCCAAAAATTGTCCATTGCTGTTTCTTATTTCCATATCCAGTATAAGATCAAATTGGTTTTATTTTCCATCAATTAGTAATGCAAACAGAAAGATTAATTGAAAAAGAAATATGTTAAAAATACAAAGATGTCAAATATGAGGTCATCATCTGTCATTGCAACCAGAAAACAAAACAAGCAAAACCCCTAAAACTCTCTCATTTGGGCATTTCTGTTAGATGTATTGCTTTGACCTTCTGTGTTTTGAGGTCTCCCATGCCACTTTCAAGTTTCCAACACGGAACTTTACAGTGAATCCAGTTGTAAAAATTGAAAGAAAAGTGCTACATTTTCACCAGCAGTCTTTTACTCTGGCACAGAAATATGTCCATCATTGTTTTGAGGAAAGTCAGCACCTACATCAGAGTCCATTTTCTAACAAAATTAAGGTATTTCCCTAATTCAATATTTAAAATTTCCAACTTTCTCTAGAGCTGTACTGATATTTAGAGAAAGAGAAAAGAACTTACTAAAGTGAGTAAGTTGTCCACCATCGTCAGGTCAGGAAAGACAAAGTTTTTTGGGGGTAAGGTCTGAGGCTTAAGAGTTGAAGTACAAGTTTGAGTACCTGGGTATCATTAGTAGCTGAGCTGGCTACTTGTGCCTACACTGTCCTAATCTTACATACATAGATCTTGGGTTGTAATTCACATAGCTGCTCTCTGCAAAGTCAGGAGGATTGACTGCTGCTCTTCTTGCATGTGAAGGTGGGAACTTCGAGGCTCTAGCCTGCAACAGGAAGAAAAACACGTGCCATTGGATTACATTGTAGAATTTTGTGGGACTGTCATTCCTATAGATCCCAAACTAAAAGCAAAGAGCAGGAGAGACCTGGTAGGTAACATTACTGTTGCAAAAGAAATGTGAAGTGATTTCTCTGAGCTCCCTGAGCAAAAGGGTAGAGCACAGAGGGTGAAACATGAACTGGCAGACAGATGCAAGAACAGACTTCACAAAGCCTCAACAGCACAGCCTCTGAAATTTTTTTCTTAATATTGTTTTTTTCTTAATATTGTCTTTTCAGAAACAAATTTTGAAAGTTGGTATCTACAGCAAAATAGATGAAAATGAACAATGCAAGCTTCTCTGGAAACAAAACAGACAGACCACAAACAATCCAATTTAGGCGCCTAAAATCACTGGAAGCCTTTGATCTCTGCAGCTCCACCTCTCATCAATGAAATGGTCCTGAGTGCCACCAAAGAGCATATCAGGAAATGAATCATTTTAACTTCAGAGCACTCTGACTGGTTTGCAACCAACAGGGCACACGACCATTAATTTAATCATGAGCAGAAAACAAAATAGGAAATAATTGGTCTTTCCATGTGCATTAAGTGAGGCAGAAGCCCTGTGGAAAAGCAGCACATTTTCATTTTTGTTATATATATATCACAACACACTGGAATTAGAGAGTGAGTAAAAGTTGTGGTGGCAGATTTATCCCTGGTGTTTCCTGGCTTACAAGTATATGAACTGCCACATAAAAATAAAAGTTTCATAGCTGTGTTTATCTCCAATACAGTGAAACAAAGTGGACCTTTTTCCCCTCATTGTAAAAGGCATGTCTAGTTCTATCCAATCTTTAATCAGGCAAGATTCTTCCATTAAGAATACACATTCTTAAATAAAACATCTGAGTAAAGACTACTCTGTTAAGCAGAAATATGAAAATATTACATTTTGGGAGAAATAAAATTCAGCATTGTAAATGCAACTTATAGACAGGAAATGCACCACACCCCTCTCTATCCAGTGCTCAAACAATTGCTCAAATACTCTGATTGTAAATGAAGATAGGGCCATCCAAACACCAGACATTCTCACAGATGATGTGTTCCCTGTCCCACCCTCCAAGTGCTCACAGAGGTGGATGGGGGGTTTCTCAGAGCAGACACATTGCAAAGAAATTCCAAGTTTTAGTGAAGAAAACACCAAAACCTGCAAAACACACACACACAAAGCCCACTTACTGTGGAGTGTTCTGCTGGGCCCCGTGCCCGTTTTGGTAAGCAGCAAGCTGAAAGGAGGAGGTCAGGAAGTTAGAGTGGTTTGATGGTGCAGGGTGCACAGCTATTATAGCTGGGGTTCTTCTCTAGCTGCCCCCAGCTCTTGAAAGACTTTCTTCAAAATACAGTCACTCTCATACGTTAAGTTTTTTTTACATCCTGCTTTTTAACACGCTCCTATTTTATTTTTCCCTTCATTGCAACTTTTGGTCATTCTGGGTGCCCTGGTTTCTACTGGGGTAGAGTTGATTTTCTTCTTAGTAGTTGTGTTTTGCATTTAGTATGAGAAATTAAACTAATCAGCTATCTAATATGCCCAATACACAATTATCTGCAAGATATCAAACTATTTGGCCTATTCTTACGCTTGCTCCAGGGAAAAATTATCACTGCTCATGGAAACAAGGATAGTTTGTGTTTAGTCATTAGTTTATGAACTGTCATTATTAAGTACTGAATTCTGTGCCAGTAAATGCAGAACAAACAAAATAATTCTAAAACCTCAAAGCCTGCCCTATTCTCAGAAAGAGACCTTTTATCATGAATGAATCTCTGACATGTCTGTAATGCATTAATACCACAATACCTGTGGCTCTTTCAAAACTCCAGACATATTTTAAATTTCTACCCCTTATTTTATTATGACTTCTCCAAAATGTGCATGTATGAACATTTTCCTCAACCCTTGCCTCCCACCTGAAGTCTCAACAATAAAGTGCATGTCCTTGTACCTGCACATGGTCAGCAATGAGATTGCAATATATTTCAGATTCAAAAGACTCACCTCTGCACTTGAAAATCAAGCATAAAGTCAGACCAGTGACAGCAATGGCACCTGCAGCTGCTCCTGCCATCAGGATGTAGAGAAGCATATGGGAGGTATCTGAGCAATGAGAAAAGAGCAGGTTACAGAGCTAGATGTCAGTATCCAGGAATGTGTGACATAACTGCCTACCTTATCTGGAAGAAAAAGCTAATCCTCTGCTTCCACACAAAGCAGAGAGAAACAGATGAGATGTCTGGGTGCCAACCAGCAATAAGAAGCTGCCTCACACTCCCAGGCATTTGTGTGCACAAACACATTTTCATTTTCAACTCATCTGCCTCTACATTCTCATTTTCTTCAAGTACTCCTAGCCCTGAACAACTGAGCAGCCATCCCTGCAAAATGCTGTTATTAATGAATGGTTTATGCTGATTTCTGTTCTTCATGCCTCTACTAGCAGAGTACTTTGGTGATATGAGCACATCTTCAGCTGCTCTTATAAATCCTTACTGCAATAGCCTTCCAACAGGTTCAGCACAGCCAAAGAAGCTGAATTTTGGCCTTTACTACCTTTGGAACACTTGCAAGTCACAGACAGACACGCTCCAAGGAAATTTTCTCCACGCTATCACTACAGTGGAAAAGCTGGACAAAACGTTGCGAGGAAGTTGCTTTTAAATTCTTTCTTGTTTCTCCTTATCCTCTTCTGATTTGAGTGGCAAGAAATTACTTTCCCTCAAGTCTCTTTTGCCTGTGACAGTAATTGGTGAATGATCTCTCCCTGTCTTCAGCTTGAAACGAGCTGGCCATTGTATTTTTCTCCCTGTCTTGTTGAAGAGGAGGGAGCAATAGAGCAGCTTGGAGAGCACCTGGCAGCCAGCCAAGGTGAACCCACTGAAAGCAGAATAAGGAATTCTTGTAAAACAGAACAGGAATTGAAAGAAAAACACACTGAGAGCTTCTCCATAGAGTGCCACAAAGCATTTGGTGTCAAAATCATTAATTTATCTCTCAGCACTAGGACTTCACCTTTAACCATGCTACCCTAGCTCCAGAGCCCTGGCATTTAGTGGGAACAGCTGCACAAAACAGCAGAGAGAAGCCCAAGACATGATGAAAAGCAATCACAAAACAGCATTATTTACATCTCAGGTCCATGACCAGAGTCTGGTTCATGGCTGCGTGGGTGACCAGGCAGGTGACAGAGGGAATTGAGCTGTTGGCCCAGCCAAAGTAGCTCACTCTGGTCACTGTTCCGTTGGGGTGATGGAATTCCTCCTCAGAGCTGTGGTTGCTTGCAGGGATCCAGGAGATGTCAGCAGCTGGCTTTCCTGCAGATGCCTGGCACACAGCCACCCTGCTCTTGTCATGGGTCAGAGTCACTGTAGGAGGCACTGCAAAAGAAATTTTTAAGAGCCACAGCCATTATTTCTATTCATATGTTTTATTACTATTCCATTTTTTAGTATAAAATCACCAGCTGAGAAACTGAAAATCAGGTGGTATTTTTTACATTGTATGACCAATTTGTAAGATTTTAAGATAATTTGAAATATTAGCACATCTTAAAGGAAAAACAATAGATCAAAAAGTCCAAGGTGGACACCTCAAAAACTAGCTGGCAGCATCCCAAGTGCTGCTTCTTCCTGTTTGCCAAAAGGTGATGACAGATTAACAGGAGATGGGATGACAGAGAGGGGTGGATTCAACAAAGATTTACAACCTCACTGATGAAAAGGCAAATTGCTGAAGCTTCAGGTAGAATATTAAGGAGTTTCAATATGAAGAATCAAAAATCTGATAGCAGGGAAATAAAAGAGGAATTGGGCAAAACTCTTCTGCTTGAAGTCCAACAACTCATATTCTGCATTTGGCAAAACAGGGAAAGCCTCACACAACACCTAAACATGTATCAGAAAGGCAGGATTCTGCAGGGAAGAATCAAAAATACTTCAAAACCCAAATCCAAAACAAATCAATGACCAAAAAATAGCAATTACAGAGTTGAAAAATTATTTTTTTATGATTTTTAGTTATATTGAGATGGCTTAAGTAATATAGCCAGAACAAAAAAAATCTTCCCTTTTTTCATGGAAACCTAGATATAATTTACCTGACTATATAAAAAAAAGATGATTTGATGTATTCATTATGCTTCCTAGTATTCTTTTGTTCCTGCCTATGTTGCAAATAGACTAATTTAATTTTTATTTGAGTGATGAAGTCTTACCTATCACAATCAGAGAAGAGAGCAACTGAAAATTCCCTTCGGCATTGACCAAGTCACAGGTGTAAATTCCCTCATCCTCGAGGTCCACAGGGTAAATACGAAGTGCAGGGTCTCTGCCAGGTGAATATTTCCATGTGATCCTCTCACTGCAGTTCAGGCTGCTTGTCTTATTGAGATCCCTTCTGTAGGACAAGCAACTTGTGCGATTCCTCTTCCAAATCACCAGCAAAGGCACCTCGGAGATGTTGGGGCAACTCAGCACAGCTTCACGGCCAATCTCCGCACTCACCCAGTTGTGAGCTGCATAAGATGACAAAAAGACATTAAAAAGGTGCTTCAGCCATTGTAAAAGTACAGGAAACCCTTGCCTTCATCACCCTTAAAAATATACTTCCTGACTGTACTGGCAGCTTTGGAGCATTTATTAGTATTCCACTTCCAGATCCACCTTCCTGGAGTTTGGAAATGCAGCAGAGATGGTGCCTTTTTGCTGTGGACACTGATGCTGACAAGTTGCAAGTCCTCCACCTTCATTTTAGGCAATAAATTTCTATCACTTTAATATAGGGTTTGAAAAATTGATGGGGAGGTCAAAATTCATTCTTAAGGGGAAGGAAACTTCTTTCAAAAATGTACTGTGCTCCTGAATTAGGTGCCTTGCTTCAAGTGCCAGTAAAACTCAGTATAGCTGTGGAACACACACCTGTGGCACCAACATCACTTGGACCAGAAGTTTAGTAAGAAACATGTGGATCCCTTTTATTCCAGAAATCATAGCTCTCCTGCCATTGTCCCAGCTGAACAGGTGTGTCTTTAGATGACCAGTTTTGGATTCCTGTCAGATTTTTCATTCTGTGCCACTCTGCAAGGCACTCAATTGTTTTGCCAGCCAAGGTGACATTACTCTTTCCATTCCCAGAAAACAATAGACAAAATTTGCTCTGCTGTACTATGAACTTTCAATGTCCTGGAAATACAGAGTACCAAACAGTGCTACATGCAGTTTTGGATCTTTTTCACTTACCTTCAACCAGATTGATTGGCAAGAAAAGGAGCACAGCCAGAACTGCCCATTTCTGAGCCATCTTTAGCAGAAGGAATCAGCACTGCAGAAAAGGAAGGCAAAGAAAATGGCATGTAGTCAAAAATAGTTGTGTTCATCCTTTCAAAGAGAGCATGTAGTAAAACCCATTTCCTTTGAAAGCAGGAGTTCTAAACTAGACCCCATGTCAAGCGCCAGTGAAGAAAGTAAAGCAAAAATAGGGAAACAGGGTTGAAAAAAAAATTTAAAAATAAAAAAGACCAAAAAAAAAAAAAAACCAACAAAACAAAACTCCAAAGCAAACAAAAAACAAGCTACTGTTTGCAAACAGTTTTTTTAAAATCCTGGATCTCCGGTACCACTCAGGATCTAGACTTCATCAACTATTTGGCAAAGAAATTATTCCTAGCCTTTGGATGCTATCAATTTCTTGAAGAGTAACTCCCCTTTTGGAGCAGAGCAAAAAGAGCAACCCTCCTATTGTAAGGGATCAAAATCATATGAGTTTGTTTCTTGCTTTCATAGGCAGGGTGAACTGAAGAGGCATCTTCAGTTCGAGTAACTCCTGCTGTTCTACAACTCTCTAAACCTTTTAACAAACCATGCCTTATAAATGCTGCCATTTCTATCTCTTTAATAATTTACTTTCTGAATCAGGCACCCACAGCTAGAGATGATGGGAAAATTGTGCTCCCAATCCATGGGAAATACTGACACGATGATGTTTTCATTCCCAAGTCAAAGATTGCATTTTAAATGTGAAACAAACCATGAGAGGATGCCTGGTGTAGAGGAGAGAAGCCACAAGGCTGCCACGTGTGTGGCATAGGAAGAACAAAAGCTGCCACAGGCACGAGCCAGATGCAATAGATGGTGTTTTCCTTAACACAGGGTGATGCAAGTGCATGGTCAAGTCACTGAATCACAGAAGGGTTTGGGTTGGGAGGCACCTGAAGGATCCTCCAGTTCCAAACCCCTGCCATGGGCACTTCCATCAGACCAGGTTGCTCAGAGCTCCATCCAACCTGACCCTGAACACTTCCAGGGATGGGGCGTCCACAGCTTTTCTGGGCATCCTGTTCCAGTGCCTGACCACCCTCAATAGAATTGTTTTCCTCAAAGAATTGTTTTGCTCACAACTCTAACAAAGAATCGTCATGCATCTGGATGAAAATCTTTTGTTACCACCTGGTAAAAAACACCAACACAACCACATTGACCCATATTCTGCTACTAATATGCAACTAGCAATATAATTCTTACATTAAAAACATCTCAAATTTCACTTTCATTCACATAAAATCTTCCATAAAGGAAATATTTTGTTTTGTTTCATTTTATTCAGCACTGTCAGAAGTTTTGGGATTTTTTTTTCTTTGCAATTTGGATACATTATGCATGCAAAAGTTGCTTTCAATCAAAACAGTTTGACTATTTAAAAACTGATTTTTTTTTAACTAAAAAAATTTAAAATATACATTTTGACCAGACTTATGTCCTGAACTTGACCCAATTTGCAAAGAATTGCTCAATCTCTTTCAAAAGGAAAGTAAAAGAAAAAATAACAAACCTTCCACAATTTCTATCAGCAAATTCAGTCTTCACCAATTTTGATGAGTCCATAAATATTCATAATAGAATATTTTCATATTGGAACTTGTCCCAGAGAAGTATCTTTTTTTAAAATGCATTGAAATCTCATATATGCGGTTTATTTGCTCAAAAGAACAGGCATTAATGATTAAAAATGGGACCTTACAGAAAGGAGAGAGTATATGACTCTCTTTAAATATTCATGGGTGAAACACAGAATTTAATCTCCAATTTTTAAAATTCACAGCCCTTGAACAGTTGTGCCTCTGAGCGAGAAGGAACTCTCAAAATCCATAAAGGCACAACCAAGCAGAGATGAATCAAACCCATTTAAAAGTAGCAAACGAACACTTGGTGGCTCGCCTTGTCTTATTGCCTTTGATGGAATTAAAACGCCTCAACAGCTGCATAAAAATAAATTAAACTTTTTACCCTAAAATAAATTAAATTTTTTACTCAGTCTCGGTGGCGGTGGCTGGCACGAGACCTTGTGATGCGTGTGCCACTCTTCCCGCTCGGATTCATCCCAAGGAGAGCAGAGGCTGGGGGAGATCCACTCCCTTTAGGGGCTCCAGAGGAGCCCTCCTCACCCCAGGGAGGGGAGCAGCAGCAGCTCCAGCGTGCTCTGGTCTTCCAATTCTCCTGAAGGGAGACTTCAGCCCTGGCAGCCGCTCCCACGGAGATCCCAGTCCTGAGGGCTCATTCCAAGGCAGCTCCTGCACACAGGGAACTGCAGGGATGTACCTGGAGCTCCCCTCCCTCTCTGTCCCTTCCAAGAGCCCAAATACAAGTGCAAAGTGGGAACTATCTCAGTTTAGGAGAGTCCATCCCTGCGTTCAGCTGTATGGTTCATTAGTTTTGTTCTGTTGTTGCTTCTGAGACCTTCACATGCAGCTGATTTTTCTTACAGACAGATAAAGCTTCCACCCCCCTCCCCTCTTGAAAGAGGTGAGTCAAAAAAACCCTCTGCCCTGAAGAGGATGTGGCAGAGTTAAATTGAGAGAAACAAACTGCTTTGTGACATGGCAAACAAGTCACAACCTCAGCTGTCTGTTGTCATCACACACCAGCCACAAGCCTTGAGCTATGAAAGCATCAACCTAAAACCAGGCAAGTACATGCAATGTCCAACATGATTTAAATATTTGCTAACACAGCCTGAAAAGGGAAAAGGTCAGGTATCCATCAGTGCATCAGTTGTCACCACAAGTTTTTAAAGGATAACCAGTCTGTCACAGAGCCATTCCCGTGTTTACCTCACTTCAAAACAGAATATGGTTCTGTTTTGAAGTGAAAGCACATTTTAAGGGGTACAAAAGACTCTGTCTTAGAAGGCACTCTGTTCTGTGTAAGATGTGTGTCTTTGGGAAAGGAAGAGCTGGAAGGCATGGCAAGAAGAGAAAGCAGTGACACATCTGCATCAATTCTCTTATAAGGGTAAAGTAACTGCTCTGCAAATGAAGGCTGTGTTATTTAAAATCCAAATCCACAATTTTGGCAGTCAGAGCAGCATCAGCATCTTCTACGCAGTATTTGATGTTTCTACCTCATCACCAAGACCCCACACACCCAACTCAAAAGCCTGCAGCTTTTCTGAAGTGAGAGATGCTGGTTATACTGTATTTTCAACATCCCCAGGTCAGCCTCTTCTGCTCCCATTTCTCCCTACCAATGGTTCCTCTGCTGGGAATTCCTCGAGTCCCTCCACTGAAAATGAAACAACAAAATATAGCAAGACTTTGAATGCCCTGGGTGGAAGACAAAATATATCAAAAGGGGCAGCAGGTAGACACTCCCAAAGCTGAAATGGAAAGCTCTGGGGGAAGAGGATTGGCTGTGCTCTTTCTCTGTTCTCAGCCATCTGGTGTAGAGGAGAGAAGCCCTGGCAGTGCTGCTGGGTCATGGACCTCTGCCTTGACCTCAGAGCCTCCTGGTGTTTTTATTCTCTTAAAGATATCCTGACCCTGAAAACTGCCCTCTGTATTCCTGTACTGGCACAGCACAACACTCTTAGCTCTCTCAGGGACTGATGGATCAGAAACTCCACGGTGCATTTTCTTCTCACACTCTCTGTCTCTCAGTCGCTGGCTTCAGTTGAAGTCAGAGATTATTTGAAATTTAGTCCCTCCAGTTTGTGAGCTAGTTTCATTCACTGCCAAACTACAAAGCTTTCTCTGCAAAATGGGAAATAGAGAGATGGCTTTCTGAAAGAGAGAATTAGGCTAATAGAATCAGCTCTCAAAACAATCACAAGCAAGTTTCCAAACAACTGTAAGATTACAGTGTTTATGTAAATATACCTAAAAGTAAATAGTTTTGAAATTTCCTCCATGGTAAGACAGAGATTTGTGCCATCTATTGAATTCATCAAGATAGCAGCATTTAAAGTAATACCAACATTACAAAGTGTGGATTTTTCCCCAGGGGAAAAAAATTTGTCATACATAGTAGCTGTAATTCCAGAAAGCAGTTGGGCATCTCCCCTCTTCTAGGATATATTTACCTTTTTATCACTAGCTCATCTGGAAAATAGTTTAGTCCCATGAAGTTACAGCACAAGCCAAGGCATATTCCTCACACCTGAAGCTGCCTTGCAGCCAGTCCCTCAGGGAATAATCCAGTGTTGGGAAGGGGCAGTAGGAGCAAAGGATGAATGTGAACAACATTCTGGTAGCTCATTCTCTTCCTTCCAGAAAGAGAGAAGACATTCCCTTTACATTTTCCATTTTATGAAAACAAACAAACAAACAAAACAACCAAACAAAAAACACAAAAAAACCACAGTTCTTGTACCTAACACCTTGACTTTCCCAGGTACAAACCATCTGCGGCTCTCACCAATGTCAGCAAACAGATGGGGAAAAGCCCTGCTGGTAATGCAGCCTGTAAAACCTGACACTTCCTTGTTAAAATATCCAGAGGCAATTATATCACAATTTGCAAAGATCAGGGAAATGTATTTCTTTTTTAACTGTAGCTGACTGCACTGGGCCAGCAGGGCCATGCTCAGCAACTTCTACTCCTGGCCCTAGAGAATCCCCTTCTCACTTGTAGGTCTTCAACCTCAGGAGCTTCTCACTCAATCCCAGCACTGCAGCAGACAAATCTACCTACCACACATATGTTCATCATCTTAACTGCTTTAACTCCTGCCCCTTGTGGGCCTGCTGCTTTTTGCTGCTGATTTCCCAGAAAAAAAACTGGGAATTAGCAACCCACAAGTGTAATTACTGCTTTCAGGACTGTGGATAGCCAGAGGAAAAGTCTTCCATAGAAGTATGCAGAGATGAACAGATGGAAGATGGTTTATACCTTGATGTTTGACTCCTTTAGTAAGCATCAGGATGTATGTCAGACTCCATATAGGAAGGTTTCCTCCCCTTCTTTCAGTCAGAGGTACTGGCCTCCCCCTCCACAGCCAAACATGGAGTTTGGAATGATGGAATTTGCATGATGGAATTGCACCACACAACTGAACTGCACATAAAGAAGATACAAACCTCAAGTAATTCCTGCTTTAAAAAAACTCAGAAAGAGCATAAGACCTGGTGTCCAGCAGAAATTAAATTCCAGGCAGTCCTTCCTCACCTGTCAGTCTGTCCCATCTGTAGCACCACTAACCATGGTTTAGGCAGTGCTAAGCAGGGACTTACCCAACCTCTCTCCTCCTGCTCTTCACTGCTCCTTCCCCTTCACACTTCAGGGAACATCATTTTTTCTGAAATCTACAGCTTCCCCATTCCATGGACAGCTGGGAAGATCCTGCAAGAAGCCCCAGGAGCCCCCATCAGCTGGGAGACAGCCTCTCCAGCCTCAAGGAGCTGCATTCTCCTCCCTCATTGGAGTCATTGCTCAGAAGAAAATATGTATTTTACTCATTTATATATTTAAGGAAGAGAAAAAGCTGTCCCCTGTGTTTATAGAGCAGCTAGATCAACACTTACAAATATGAAATACATACTGCTCTTATATGGCAAAGGAGGAACAGTTTTCTTTCATTTTCCTTTCTGTGGGCTTCTTTTTTTTTTTCAAGTGAAATAAACTGGTTGTGTAACAAAACGTACCTAAAATAGAAATCCACATCTATATTTGAAATAACTACACATCCCACCTCTCAAATACCAAGTAAAGTCATGACACCAGGATCAGGATGCCATTTATCACTGCCTACACTCTTTTGGTGTGGCGAAATATCCCCACAGGGGATGCTTGTCCTTTTTCCTTCCCCACCATATAGGTTTCTTTGCTGTCACAGACTCCCTTTCTCAGAAGCCAGGTAGCTCTGTGTCAGTGGTGTAGAAAAATTCTCCCTGGTGGTTTCCAGTGAAACTTCTCACCTCATTTCTCTTCTGGTTATCAGCACTGCTGGCAGAATTTAAGCTCTGTTTGAGGCAGGATGATGCAGGAGAATAAGGTAGCTGGGAGGAGTCCTACAACATGTCCTTGTCCAGGTTTCTGCTAAGCAAACTTCCCCCCATATTTTGTAGCCCAGTGGTCTGCAGGTGAAAAACACAGAATAAGTTCAGGTCATCTCCCACAGATGTTAATGCTGTCATGGGACTGTGGGTGTTGCTGATAAAAGATCTTCATTTTCCCATCTTCCCAGAGTGGTTTAAAGTACAGCCCAGAGGGGAAGCTCCTGAGGACAGGGTGGCAGAGCTTCTCCAATCAAAACATCATTGTATCCTGATCCAGTGTCCAAAGGCTCTGTGTGAAAGGTTGAAGTGCAGCACTACGACACAAATGAGAGAAAGGGAAGTAAGACGCGAAAAAACAACCAAACAAAAAAAATCAACAAGCAAACAGAATGCACAAGTGTAAGACAGAGACTCAGAAAGCCTCTAGCTCACCACCACAAGGACTCTGCTGAATGTAATTCATGCCACAGACCACAACATTTGGTCACCCCTGCCCTCAGGCTTGTACAGGCTATGTACATACATAGTCTATGTACATACATAGGCTACAGCCATATGGCTGTGTCTGTGCACAGCTAAAGGCTCACTTAAAACACATGAAGAATCAATCATGTCTTAATCTGCTAAAAGTACCTGTGCTGTGGCCATGTCTATGTGCATGGCTACATACATGAATATTTTTTTCAATCATTATATAGAGGTACAACTTTATGCACACACTTGGAGATGCTGCCCTCACAGCCCTCTGACACAGCAGGAAAAGTTAACTGGCTTTTTTGCAAAGTCTCCTCTACTGGAAATCCGAGTTTTGCACATTGCTTCCACGTGGTTTGTTGTCAGAGCTAGTTTATGGCTTTTGTAATGAAAGTGTCTCTGGAAAAAAGTGATTTTAAAAATGCATCTAAAGGGATAAACCAAAAGCAACTTTGAACTATACAGGCTTCCAACAAACCTCTTTGAAGAGGATGATGTTCCCCAAATAAGGTAATTCCTCATGTAAAATAAGAAGACCTGTGGACAACTACTGGCATTTTAAATGGGAGGTACCTGCAACTGAACAATGAAGGAAACAACTTCTCTCAAAGTCCAGATTCAGTGAGTCCAGCACCTCTACTCCATCAGGGTTATGTACCTGTGCTGCAAAACCCTTCCAAAGTAGTTTTAATGCAGTTAACAAGGGCATAAGGAACATACAGGGTGAGGAATTCTGGCTGAACGCATACCTGGACAGTTGGCTTGAAAATGCATTTTCACTGAAAACTACTTTTGATCTGGAAGCTTTGGACTAACAGGCTATATTTCTTTACAGGCTCTAGAAACATGTACTGCACAATCTACTCAAAGTTGTCTTTCCTTGTTTACACAGGACATTTCTGAGATGGGTAAAGAACTGTCATTCTTTCCTGTGAAACAGGGAGATGGCATTGCCCTGGCATGGGACAAGAAACAGGCACTAGAGATTTTTGAGAATTCTGATTTTCCTGAAAGAAAACCCATCTCTGGCTCCACCCTTGTCAAGGACAAGTCATACTGACTTGTGCAAGAGATTTCTATTTGGGAAAATTAGTGTTTTCTTACTACTGAAGGACACTCACAGAACACCTCCCCCACTCTCCTCAGGCTGCACTATGATTTAAAAATGCTCATTAAGCCTTGGCCTTGATGAACTGCATCTGGGCTGACCTTATCAGAAACACTGTCTGTTCCCAGGAACTAGTTATTTTGATTTTTACTAAACAGCTTTGAAAACTTATTTTTCTTGCCCAGATAACAATCTGAGTTTATGCCTAAGCCATTGGCCAAGTCCAGGCTTAAGTCTGGTCAGGCAGACCTCTCTGAACACTGGGAGGGCTTTCCTTATTCTTTTCTATTCTTATCTTTCTCCATCTTTACCCTTTTGCTTTCCCCAGCCTCAGTGTAGATCACTTGTGGTTGATTTTAGTTTTAGATTGATTGATTTTACATTTGAGCATTTTTGTCTGCTTTACCCATCTAGTAAGCAGTAGAGTGAGCCAATGCATTTTCTCATACTTTCGCTTTAATATTAAACCTGCTTTTGCCAATTCCTTTGATTCTTTGAGCCACCTAAAACACCCATTTTTGACCAAAAAATTAGCGTTTTCTTGTTACTCACATCACAGAATCCCCAGTCTTGATTATGAGTCTTCCATAACAGAATGTGCCTCTGTAACAGCTGATGTTCCTAATAGACAGAATGCACAGGTATTTGGAGCTGGGATTTCACTGGGTGTGTTTGTGCCTCCAGTTACCATGGATATACACTGATGCTCCCTCCCTCAGTGTAAAATGTCTCTCTGGTGTCTTATTACTCACAGACCTGCTGCAAGCACCTTGTTTTTATGACCCTTCAGCTCAAGGACTCATATTCAGAGTTGTTGCAAAGCAGGATATTTGGAAGCAGCTTCTGTGCCTATACACAGCATGGAATACTGAATGCCAAGGAGTTAAAAATCCCCCTGAGCTCGAGAGAGCTGCCTCTTTAAAATTCCTACTTCATCTTCCAGTGCCTTGCAAAAACAAGAAAAACCCTCCTTATTCTCTCCACAGCTATTCCTCGTAGCTGCCAGGAGGTGGAAACAGAGCTACACCAACCTAGGGAGAAGCTGATGTGCAGTTGTACAGCGTGCTGCCTGCTGAAGAATGGAGCTAAAAATATCTGCAGTCCAAACTGGCTCCCTGGAGCCCAAAATACAGCATCGTGCAGTGCTCCCTGAGCCCCTCCACATCCCCTTTCCATCCTAACAAAACATCTCTACTGCTTGCTATGGGTGCTCCTAAAGTCAGACGGGGCTTACACATTTATTTCAATATGAATCCAAAATCAGGCTGCCTGTGATTGAAAGGCTCTCACAGCAGCAGCCATTGCAGCCCTTCAGAACTGATAAACAATCAGATCCCTTGCAAAGGGACAAGGAGATAAATTTTCACTTGGTTTGTGTGTCTGCTTTGACACGCAAAAACATTACACCCATGTCCAAGCATGAAAAACACAGCAGAGATCAGGAGTGCTCACCAGACAAGCCTTAGCCACCACAGGAACAGACACAGGTGTAACCTGTGGAACCTGTAACCATCTTTTTTCCTTGTCATTTGGTACCAAATTTTAAGGCCTGAGAGAGAAATCCTTTCACAAAATGCAAATACTTGGAAAGGGGGAGAGGGACACAGCAGTGTTAAAAGGCTGTAGACAAAATAAGCTTTCAAAATATCAGAGTTGGGTAAAACATCACAACTTATTTTGGTTTCTGTTTGTACAAGAGGGAGTTTGACACAAACTTCATTTCTGCTTCCTGTGCATTCCCCACCTTGAGCTCATCCCACTGAGAGTGTTCTCAGGTTCCTCAGAGCAAGCTGAAGAGCACAGAGGATGGGCTAGAAATGAGCCAGAAGATATTTCAGAGCAGAGAAAAACACAGGAAAACAATTCCTTCTTTGTGCAGAGAGCAGTAGAAGAAAGGAGAAAACCTCCCTGCATGGGAAGCAGGTCCCAGAAAGTACAGCTGGAGAAAAAAAATGGGGAAGGGGGGTCAATAAATATATAGACAATTCCAGAAATCCACCCAAGAAACTTGTGATTTTGTAAAATCAGTCATACACCTTATTTGCAGAAAAAAAAATATTAAAATATATGTATCTATCTTCTTACCTTTGACACAGACAATTATCCAGGATATCATGACCACAGCCCACATCTTTTCCAGCCCAGAATCCAAATCCACTCTCACAACTTTGCTCCATTCCAGGTAAACTTCTGTACTCTCAGTGGAGTTGGCACTGCCACACCTGATATTACAAGGACAAACACGAAAATAAAAGCCTGCAGAATTGCATGTTTCCTTTACCTAAAAATTGGTGTCAAAAAGATGACTGAAGGCACAATTCTCGTTTTATTTCTAGTCAAAACATTTTCGAGAAAACTTTAGGAAGGAGAAAGAAAGGTGAATATAAATCCCTACATTTTCACAAAGCTGGGGAACAGCTTGGAAGCAATCTGAGCTGGTTTCTCAGCCCAACACACATCAGAATCAACCCAAAAAGCTCTGGGAACTCACCACCTTTGGCTACTTAGGCCTAATGGATATTCCCTGTGCTGGGGGTGTGGAGCTGAAGTCACTGGGCACAAGTGGAGGACAGCCCACCATGTAAGGTGTGATGACCAGGTAAGACACTTAAAGAAATGATTGCACAGGGGCACTGCCACCGTGTCTTTCAGCCTCCCCAGCCTTTCTGCACATTATTTTTTTTCTCTTCTAACCAATGAAGCAGGAGAATTAAAAAGGCACCTCTGAAAGAGCAAGTAACTCCCAGCAGTGGCTGCCATACCTCAGGTCCCACTCCCCCTAAGCACCAATCCTCCCTGAGTTCTACTCACACAAAAATGAATTCCAGGGGTGATAAGGCACACACAAAGCCCTCAATTCAAGAAAATTCATAGATCTCAATTTTAGGTAAAATAGCTTTGCTGCCAATGAATGCAGCTGTGGTTATGAACCCAGAACAGATGAGCTGGGGTAGACCTGCATCTAACCCAAGACTAACACACATTTTTCCCACCCTGCTTTTTTCACCCAGATTCTTTCAGCTCTGGTAGTGGTGCTCAGAGTAGAAATCCCACGGGAAGCTGTTTCCATCAGCTCAGAGAAATGCACAGCCGAGCTAAAACAAATCCCTGACATTTTTCACGTGTCGGCCTTGCATTTAGCACGCACAGATGAAGAGACAGAGGAGTATGAAACTTATTGCACATGTCACAGTGTGGCAGCAATCAATTCCAGTTTCACACCCTAGGAGGAGAGGATACATCTTCATAAACACGGCTTTTATCATGCAGGAATTTCTGCTTGTCACCTCCCAGCTCCCTGGACAAGCAAGCCCCTTACCTGCTACACTCACCATGCCAAAGTGGCCCACAGCAGTTAGGAAAATACTCTTTATTTTGGCTCTGCACTGATAGCAGACACTGTCTTACTGATTGACTGCACATACTTCCAGGTGTTTTCAGTGAGGACATGATTTTGCCATGGGTTCTGAGTTTTGAGAGAGGTGCAAGCTTTCCATCTCCTTTCCAAACCCAGTCTCTCTGTCCTTATTGGCTCTTTTTTACCCATGAGCCTCAATTTGTGATTCTGCTGGTGCAGCTCCAATCCAGGTCCTTTCCTTCTTCCAGGTATTTTGTGGCAGATGCATAAATGATTTCCAGGATGGTAAAAGGAGGGGCTGCCTTGTGCTTCAGATGTGCACACAGCACCCAGGATAACAGGCAACACGATGAAACACTACTTTTTCCTTCACATAAGAGGACAGAAAATCTATTTCCTAACAAAATCTTGCAGCCAGCAGAATATTCTCTATAAGCTTTGCTGTTTTCATTAAAATGGAAGATGAGGAAAGCATCCTCTCTTCAAAAAATAAGCAAGTGAAAGCATCAGGGGAGAGGGATATTTGGGAGGGCTCTTTGTTCTTATTTCTTCAATTTGAAGGTTTTTTCCTTTTATCAAATGTTGAGCTGTTCCATTGAAAGATAATCTAAAAATACTGATTGGTTCAAAATAGCTCTCTGTTGGGTTCAGGTTTCACCTCCCAGCTCTCTGGGCAAAATTGAGCATAGAGAAAACAAAAGACTGAAATACATCATGCCTCAACAGAAGCTTAGTGCAATAGATGTTCTTTCTTTCCCAGAACCCAGGCAGCACCTCCTGGCCACACCAAGAACTCCTAAACTGGACTGGAAAAAAGCCAAAAGTCAGAAAAACTCATTTTTAATTGTTTCTCCTCCTCAAGAGAGCACCTGTATTGAACTATCTTGCTAGTAGAGGTAAGAGACTCCCACCAATATGAATATATAAAAAAACATGCCACATCTCTTTTTCAATGATGAAAAAAAAAATCTTATTACAGTAACTTAAAAAATTCTTAATTACTGTACTTTAAGTGGGAGAATTCTGATGTGAGCATCAGGAAAAAAAAGAGAGAAATTCAGAAAGAAAAAAGAGCAATGCTTACCACAACATCCTCCTGTTTCAGACCAGTGTTAAGAGGCAGGAGAGCTTCTTGCTTTATTTCAAAATATAGATTTTTCTTTTTCCTAGAAAAACAAAGCTGTCTTTTAGAAACATCTTTAAGTGCCAGACCAGCAAGTGGAACTTGGTTACACTGCTGGAAAGGAGAAAACATGAGTGGTTTGCTTGGCCTCCATTTTCCAGATGGGTAGATGGCTTGAGAGGTTCTGTGATTCAATAGACAACTTAAAATCAAAAGAAAGTGTTTGTTTGCTTTGGGATTGATTTTTTTTCCCCCTCTCACCTTAGCCATGGAAAGATTTCTGGTTGTTCCACATTGCCTGGTCCTTTTGAGCTGCGTGTTTGTGTCCTGTGTGCTGGTGTGGATTAAAACAGTTATTTTGGGTATGCCCTGATCTTTCTGTTGGCAGGGGAGGACAGCAAATGGGATTAAAAATTACAAACAAGCATTTATCTGCACTTTTATATACTATATCCTATAGCAGTATAGAGAAGTGCAGATAAATATATAACTATACCACTAGAAATTCCTGTGTAGGCTGTACTTGCAGAAATTTAAATGTCTGGTTGGTTTCTTGTTATTTTAACTATTCTGTGCATTTTTCATTTATCTTTCAGCTCTCTGTTGGTGCTCTGAAAGGGTCCACATTGCACTCTCTGGTGTCAAACTTTCAGTTATGGGTCAGCTACCCAGGAGCAGGAGATTTTGTTGGCTTTTATTAATTAAGGCCAGCTTGGCTTAGATTCCTTGACAGCCCAGTGATTTTCAGACTCTTACAAGACTCAGAAGATTCTGTTTCAATTTCAGACTGCAGGAAACAAGCACGAGCTCAGCTGCTCTTTTAACAGCTCCAGATGTGCCCAGAGCCCAGTGGTTCATGGAAGGGGAATAATGGGAGCTGCCAGCCCACAGCCTCTGCCAGCCATTGAAGCAATCAGACCCTTAATACTAACAAAAACCAGTTCAGTGCCCCAGACCTGCTCACTGAAAATGTAAATACTCTGTGCAGGAAAACATTCACTTCCAGAGCTGCTTCCAAACTTCCTTAGGAAGACACGAAAGGTTGAGCCCTCAGACACAAGCAGCAGCCACTCACAGAGCATGCACAGCTCTGAGAGCAAAGCAAGGTGGATTTTTCTCTTCTCCTTCCACTTCCTGACATCTCATGGCAATCCCAAGGAATCCCTTCTCCTGCAGAGCAGCAGTGCACTCTGAACACATTCAGCACTGGGTCTCAGTGCAGTGTAATCCCAGTTACTCAGCTCCTCAGAGAACCCTCTGGATTCACATTTACCAGCAAACAGCCCTGGGCATGTCTCTGAGGTTTTTCCCTCAAAAACTGAGTAGTGAACAACCTTTTCATCTGAGAAAAGCCTTGGCAGGCTCGAAGCCAGCACTGTGAGCTGCACACACATTCTCAACACCCCTGGAGCTGAGTAGCACAGGTAGACAAATGTGCTGAGGGCTTGAAAGAGGGAAAAATCGACTATTTCAACCACAGAACAAAAAGTAAATATCAAAATAGCAAAGTTTCTCTTGGGTAAATCTAAATATGTGCCCATTTGCTTTCAGGCAAATGAGACCTCCTCAGGCAGCCCAGCTTTGGTAAATCCATCAGATTCAATACAACAGTTAACAAATTTGATAAAAGGATTGCAAGGCAGTCAGGACTAGCAAAAAAATAAATTACAGGATCAGACAGTGTGTTCTGCACTGTCCTCCAGTATCCTACATGTGTCCTGCTTTAGAAACCCACCTCCTATTGAAAGAGGAGGGAAAAAATTGTTTGAGTTCTTCTCTGTGTTTATATTAAATCAAAAGATTAAACAATTATAAAATTTAGCTATTGAAATCCTGATTTTTTATCCTACTTTGTTTAAAAAAAAATACATCATCATGGGAAAAATCCATATACAAACAACTCAATGATGATAAAAGGCATTTTTTACCTTCCTGCTTTACCTCAGTTCCAGACTTAGTTCTCCAGGTTTGCTTTTCTAGAGTACCACTTCATTATTACATATACATTGGCTTCTAGCAATGACAATTAGCTGTCAGTTTTACTTTCTGATATCAAGATAGGAAAATAAAATTTAAAAATTAAAAAATTAACATCAATACCCAAGAGTTCTCTATTGAATTAAAACAGGATACAATCTAGTGAAAAAATGCACCACTTTTTTAATCAATATAACAAAATTAATTATGTCAATCAAATAAAAAGTATGCAAACCTTGAGAAATTAAGACTGCAGTATTAACTAAATTAATTAAATATAGAATTTCACAGTATTATAGTGGAACAACAGGGTAACACAGTCAAGTGATCAAGCTCTCAAACTAAAATAACAGATTATTGCCACTCAGTAAGGTAACCCTAGGAGAGTTTAAGACAATGTCAACATCCTTTATTTTCAATTACCTTTCTTGATATAAATGCACTTTGAGTGTGCACTAGGTACTTTTTTTTCCTTTTGTTACAGGAGGATTCATACTCCAGCATTCTTTTTTTCAAAAGGACACAGTGAGCTTTAAAAAAAATGCCTAATGGTTAAGTCGTGCAACAGCTTAAAATGCAACCATTGTTATGAGAAAATCTGACTCAGTGAGAAGTTGAGGTTTAAGTTTAGGAAATCATTAAAGAACTCTGCTGGGAATCTCTCATGTGCACAGGCAAACAAAAAGCAAGGGATAACAGTGTAACTGCCCCCTGCAAAGCAAAAGAAAAAATTAAATTTAAAAATATTTTAATTCTTTTTTAAAAATTAAAAAAAAAAAGACAGGAGGATAAATTATTTACTGCTTACCTTCTTGGGATCTTGTCACTGGCTATAGGGACTCAAATCCTGAATTTACTGCCAAACACAGGAGTTTCACTCAGGCTTACATTGGCTTCCCCAGTGACCCAGATATGTGTAAATTCTTCCTCTGCTGGATGACCTGCCAAGGAACCAGCTTCATTTGTGTCTGTGGATAATGGGATCTTCTGTTTTTTCTTCTCTGGTCTTTTACTTCTTGAAAGGGCATGTGCCACTCACTGCAGTTCTCAATCCAGTTCAGCATTTCAGGATCATTTTTTAGGCCCAGATATGGTCATGTCAGGATGATCAGGGTGATTTTCAAGACTGGCAGAAGGCTGAGATGTAGATGGGTATTTTCTAGAAAGTTGGTGTCATCTTCCAGTCAAATCAAGGGCACAAATTCTGCTGTAACCAAAACCAGTTTTACAATCAAACCAACCTTATTTCCAGGTATGCATTTTGTTGAGACTTATCCTGTCCTTATATTTAGGCATGGCTTCCTGGTAGGATCTCTTGTGTATTTGGAGGGAATTTTAAAAGAATAAATATAAGCTCATACAAATGCTACTGCCTTTTAGACTATATTAAAATAATTTAATCTTTTACTATTTTTTTAATTTATTAATCTTGGGTTCAACTAGGGTCTAGATTTATATCCCTCCCAAAGCTTATAATAATGGTTTTCAATAGTTACACAGGAAAAAGGGCTGCATTCTGCATTTCTGCAGTGCCAAACATAGCAGTAGCCATTTCCTTTTTGTGATAACAGATAACAAGCCTTTCAAAGCCACAAAGTGACAAGAACTAATAAAGACCAGGCATTATCCACCCTCACGTTTCTATTAAAAGTTCTATAAGCATCACAAAAGCCTCATCAGAGCAGAACACAATGGTTCTCCCAACACAAAAGCCAATATGCAGCAACCAAGAAGATGGAAACCTACAGGAAGTTTGTATTTCTCATTGCCTTCAAGGCTACATTCAGATTTTTTTTCCCGTTATGGTCACTGATCTCAGATAGAAAGGTAAATGAATGCTAGTCCAATTTAAATCCTCTTTGCTGCAAGAGTGAGTGCACCCAATGAGAAATTTGATGCAGAAGTTGGGTCCTAATTAGCTGAGGCTGAAGCACCCAAGCACTCCAAATATCAGCTCAGCCTCATCTTAGGGTAATGAAATTCCAGAACAGAGCCTTTACTGGCAAAGGGGAACTAAACACTGACTGCTACAGACAGGTTAATGCAGAAATTAGGAGCATTTCCTTGAGGGATTACAGACTTGGGGGTGGAATGGGACAAGACACAGGGAGCAGGAGGAGAAATGGAAGAAGGGAAGAGAAAGAGAAATCGATGCCTTAGGCTTGGATGCTTCCTGTCTCACTGAGCTGTATTTCTGGAGCAAGGGTAGATGCTTTCTCTGGTAATTGTATAAGCACCTTTTCATTGTACTGCTTGAGGAAAATAGGGAATTAGACATGGTTATTATCTCTACATTTCCAAAGCTTAAAAGAAAAGGAACACAGTCTGCTGTCAAATTCGGAAATCTGCCCTCCAAAGGGCAAGAAATGCGCATGCAACAGAGAAGGTAAGTAACTTACACTTTTCTTTCATAGGCAAGAGAAAAAGAAACATTTCATAAAAGTACATACTGTAGTAAAAAGAAAAATCCATGAGCTGGATGGGAAAAGCCAGACTTCATTATTTTTTATGTCTCAGCATCCTGCATGTCCAAAGAGCACTAAATGATACAGCAAATGAAAGGCAAAACTGAAGAAACACACATCCAGAAAATGTCCAATGGGATGAGCTGGAATGAAAAGTCTTCTCAAGGTACCAGGGCCTGAGGGAAGAGGAGAATTCCAAAGGCATTTCCATTCAGGCAGCATTAATCTCACCAACATCAGCTCCAGTTAGCCAAGCAGGCTGCACACAGCCTGATTGCTGCATGTGAATATATCCACATGTGTACTGCCATTTACTACAGCAAATCCACCAAAAAAGTCCACTTAGCTTGCATAACTCCTCCTTTTTAAGACCTTTGAATTTTTGCTGAAACAGAAATTTCTGGGTTTTTAACACTGATTTCAGTCTGACAGGAGGAAAAGGAGGGACTCATAGTTAACTCAGTAGTAAATTGTGCTCCTAAAAGCCCAAATTCATGATCAATACAGAACATTCTAAAAAGAAAGCATTGTTCAGAGTTTATATATTCTCCAGCAAAAAGGGCACCAGGGAAGACAGTTCAATGTTTAAAGCACAAAGAGCAAAGCCTGGGGCGAGAGGACTGCCCACGTCCAAGTTCCTTGCTGACAGGTCCAGAGGACAGAAAACCTCTCTTTGCTGCAAACACAGTGACAGCAAATTAATTTCTTTCCTCTCCTACTTTTCAGGAAGATATTAGGCCAAAATGCTCAAAGAAGGGGTATTCTGTCCTTCTTCTAAGATCCTGCAAACCAGTAGGATTGCAACATTTGCTTCCCCTCCTTTTTTCCCTCTCTTTACCATGTCAGAAGCATGTGGTCACCAGAGGAGAGAGAATTAATTACACTTGCCTTTGTACAGGATGAGTGTTCATTTGGTAGCTCAAATGGACTTTGCTTCATGATCACAGAGGACTTCAGCGAACCAAATATTTCTGTAAGTAAATCACATGGTGCTTTATACAACAATTGCCAAACTAAAGTGGAAAAACCATCATAGGGGCAAAGGGAAAAGGCTGCAGTGATTCTGAAACCATCAAGGGGCAAAGGGAAAAGGCTGCAGTGATTCTGAAAGGCTTAAATACAGCAGCAAATAAAGTATGCTTCCAAATATTTGACCATGAATTTTCACGAACTGCTTTGTTTTGAATGCAAGAAAAGGATGGCACTGCAAGGAGAGAAGTGAGCCTGTGGTCAGCAAGTCTACAGTAAGCAGAAGGTGAACAAGCACTATTCAGAAACCCTCATCACAGCAATTTTTAAGGGAGGTACACATGCTCCCAGGCAAGAAAGTGAGTGACCATAACAAAGAAGGAACATTTTTACACCAAAATAGCCACATAAACCTTTTGTCAACACAACAAAGCTGGCAGTGTTACAGGTCATTTCAGCACAATTTTATTTTCAGGACAAAACATATGAAGTACAGTCATTCAAGTTTAGGGCTAGACACCTTGTAAAATGGTGTTAATAACAAAAGGCACCTTTTAGTCGACTGAACTTTGTAAATTTACACTCATATTATAGACATTAAAGATATACTTCACCTGTGAATTTACTAATGTCAGAGATCCCAGCAAGTACCAAAATTGAGAACAAAGGTGCTTCCCTCCATTCCCCCAACACACTGAGGAAACAATGTGAACACTTACAACTACCAGAAAACACTTATTTCTGACTATTTTTACTAACACAGGTGAGTTTCACAGAATTTTTTTTAACCAAACATCAGGAAAGATATGGCAAAAAGAAATTACAAAAAATATTTTGTAAATGTTATCCCACAGGATAATACCATGACACTAGAAACAAAGGTTCATGTGTTACCAAACCAGGATACAGTTGGAAAGGGATATAATTTGGAGAAAGCACACCCCCTAAATCTATTGCCTGTGCTAATAGAACCACACCACATAAGTCAGTGTTGCCAAATCCTGCAATGTAGGAATATTGTAAATTAAGAGGGGTTTTTCATATTTTACCACTTTTCACAGTGTTAAAAAGTAAGCTATCTTCTCCTTTTTTTGTAAGATACCTTCTCCTCATTTTTGTAGCTGTATGAATACACTTGAGAGGCTCAAGGGCCTTTGTTTTAAAAAAATGCATCATTATGGGAAAAGTACATATCCAAGCAACTCAGTGATGACAAAAGGCATTTTTTTACCCTCCTGCTTTACCTCAGTTTCAGACTTGGTTCTCTGGGTTTGCTTTTCTAGAGTACCACTTCATTATTACATATCTTATACATTGGCTTCTAGAAATGACAAATGGAGACCTTACACAAGCTGCCTTTACTCTGATCAATTCTCAAATAATTTTCATTCTAGGATAGGAAATTTTTTGAATTTCTGAGCTTCACTAATATTTTACATTCATGTAGCACCTTTATCTTGGAAAAATCCTGTCGGGACCCAAAATTATTGATATGGCAGTGGCACTACAATTAAAAAATAAACCTTGGATCAGGTATTTCCTTGTATGCTGACCTGAGATCCTTGTGGAGTTCCCATCTTGGCTGATGAGGCAATCTGATGTCCTTCACCATCCAGCCTGTCTGACTTTTGGGAAAGGTTGCAAGCACAGGACAGGGCAGGTTTGACTTGTCTGGTCCCTAAAACACCAGGGCTCACTTCCTTCACTTCATGGGCTTGGAGTTGTAGCAAAAGGAGCAACTCCAAGCCACAACAGCTTGCAAATCCACTTAGGGTAAGGGGATTACAGTAAGGCTTTTACAACATCAGTGGCTGTCATGTTGCAGCACATTTGGGTTATGATCACTTCTGTTAACCTTCTCTTGGAGTTAAACAGAGCAGACAGCCAGGGAAAACACAGGTATTACTTCTAATAATCCAATTCCATAGGAAATCAATGAGTGAAATAAGCAGTTTTAAAGCTTTTTAAAGTTGAATTAGGTTTTTTAACAAGAAGTTCACACGGTCAGTTTAGTAATTACCTTGGTATCTCAAATTTAGAGGCTTCCACCTCTAAACATTAGGAACACCCTCAGGTCAATCCATGGCCATAAGTATATCCTGCACATGCTCATGGATCATGGATAAATTATGCCCTTGTGACAAGCTGACCCCAAACAACAGCCAAGCATCCATCCTGACTCCCTCTCACTCCTCTCCTGCTGAATGGGGACAAAATAAAAGAAAGGCTGGACTTATGCATTGAGATACGGATAGCTGGGTAGGGAGAGGAAAGGAAAGATGCACATGCAAGTAAAGAAAAATAGGAATTGATTCCCTGGTTCCCATTGGCAGGCAGATCTCCAGCTATCTTCATGGAAAGCTACACCTCAACATGCACAACAGCTGGTGGTGGAAAACCACCACAAACAGCTGCCCTTCCTCCTCCTTTTACCAAGATTTTAATGCTGAGGGTGTGGAATATGGAATATCCCTTTGGATATGGAACATCCCTTTGGACAGTTCAGGTCAGCTGTCACCACTCTGTCCCCTCCCTGTGGTCTGGGAGGAGTGAAGGGGAGAAAAGCCACGAGAGGAAGCAAACAGTGTTCCTCAGCAGCCTAAAGAGTGGTGTAGCAGCATCAACACTGTCCTAGCCACAGATACAGAGCACAGCACCACGAAGGCTGCCAGGGAGAGCTAACTCCACCCCAGGCAGACACAGCACAGTCCCAACCCCTCATTCCACACCATTCATTTCACTCAGTGTGATCTGAGATATCAAAGTATCCTCTGTGCCACTCATGCATTGCTTCATTTCTACTCAAATCTTTTCATTCCATCTATTTATCTTTCCTGAAACTGCTTCTTACCAACACTTACAACTTATGCTGTGTACCTAAACCATCTTTACATCCAGCAGTCAGGTTTATATGTCCTCTATGACCACTATACCTTGTCCCTTGACATATACACAGATATTATTCCTCCATTCCATGCCCTCCCTCCCCCAGATTTCCATAAGAACAGTCAATTACTTTGGTCCTACCTGTCAGGGTGATCACTCAGGCAACACGACCACTTGGGGTGGGTCAGCACTGCACTCACATGGTGAGGCTCATTCTCTGCTGGTTCAGATGATTCCTGCTGTACTCCTTCCTATACCATACAAGTCAAATAATGGCTTTTTTTCTGCCAGGGATAAATCTCCCTGAGGTACACATTTCCACTTTCTCCTGCACCAGGTGCACCTGGGTCTGAGCAAAGACCATCCCACAAAAGCACTTTCCTTTTCCCAAGGCAGAGGAGCCCACAGTGCACCTACAGTGTGGCCAGCTTGCCATGCCTCACCATATGGATGTCACAGACACCTCCCTCCACCTGCTCCAGGGAGATTTTACCCACATGGTCACTTGATTGCAGTGCATGTTTCACATGTGTTATGGCCTCAACAGTCAGGGCTCACCCCTCAATCACAAACCCTTTTTTTTTTCAATGCATCTCTCCCAGTCATGGTCCTTATCCTGAATTCTTCAATCTTTTTAATCCTATTTTCTCCCCATGTCCTGTAGAGGAAGGGGCTGAAAGTGGCTCAGTCAAGGTTAACTTGACACAGCCCTTTTTTCTTTTTTCATCCAACAATGGGTATACAGATTTTAACCAGTAACTTCCTAACCTGCAAGCAAATGCTGCTGGCCCAAGTCCATCCAGCAGCAGCCAAACCTGCTCCCTTTGAGGCATTTCTCAGAGCAAAGGGCAGGCTTGCCTCAGATGACCTCCCTGAGTGAGTTTTTGAGTATAATCTCAGTAGGACAAAATGCAAGGCTAATGAGAAACGCATGTGATTAGCACTTCTGCCCACAAGGACAAGACAGCCTATCAAGGTACCACACATTCAGTGAAACTTGGTTAAATAAATCATCTTTTAAATCAACCTTTGCCCAATCAAAGTCCAGCCTTACTTATACGTACAGCCACAGGAGGAGCAGCAAGAGACCTCAAGTGAAGGCTGTTCTACATTGATATACAGGTAAGAAATTCCTTTTTTCCTAATCCCTTTTCCCTTTGAAAACTCCTTTTTGCAAAACAAATAATTTTGCACAGATCAAAAGGTGTCGTATGAAGTGCTTTGTAACCTTCTCTCCACTTCTAAATATGAATAAATTATTTTTCACATAGAAGCCTACTATTTCTCCAGCTCTGTGTAGTACTGGTTCTGCATCCACTGATTCCCAGTGTTTGTCAGGAAAGGCTGCTTTGAATTGTACTTGCAATTGATACAGTCTGATATGTTCTAAACCATGTTCAAATAACAAGAAAGTTCATCCCTTTATTAGTTAATGTCTGTGCAATACACAGAGACCCAAAAATGCTCAAGGCACCTGACCATGGAGCACAAGTGAATCAGGAGCTGCAGGCTGCACATCCTTGCAAGCTGAAATTCCTGCATTCCCCAGCTCCAGTGGCATCTGTGCCAAACTCACCCCACACATCCATGGGATGCTGGGTGCTGCCCAAGTACCACCAACAGGGCAGCTTCACCTCCCACAGCACAGAGCCTGCACCATGGGCAGCCTCAGCATGGCTCTGCACTGAGCTGCTCTCTCAGAAGGATTTGACTGCCAGCAGAGCCAAAGAACTGAGTTCTGTCAGGAAAAAAAAAAAAAAAAAAGTCTTTCCAGTAAAATAATAACCAAGGTTGCTAATTACCTGGATTTTCCAACTGGAGGAATTTGTCTTCATTTGTGTCATTCCTCTGTCTTCATGGATCTCTGGCAGGACAATGTCTTGGGAGATGTTCCCTGGTCCCACCTGTTATTTACCATCCATCTGTGCTATTCCTGCATGACGAGCTTCTCCCAAACCAGAGGTTCTTTACGTCCCAGAGCATTTTAGGCAGGAAGGGACTTTTAGAAGTTGCCTGGTGCAATGCCCCACAGAAAACAGGGCCAGCTTAGATCAGGTTTGCTCAGGGCCCAATCCAGGTATCTCCAAGGACAGAGATTTCACAGCCTCTCTGGGCACTTCTAGTCACATCTGACTGCCCCCAAGAGGAGAAGCTGTCCTTATGGATGTCTGGTTGGAATTTCCCTTGCTGTGCTGCAGCCTATGTCTGTTCCCTCTCATTCTCCCACTGTTAATTTCCAAGAAGAGTCTGTCTGTGTTCTCCACACAATCCAGTTGGGCAGTGAGAAAACATCAATAAGATTTAACATCAATAAGATTTTCCCTTTACTTTCTCTTCCCAAGGCTGAACAAACCCAGCTCTCTCAGCCTGCTTAAATAAGTGGTTTAGAGCCAAAATTCCCTCAGCCTCCTTAAATAAGTGTTTTAGAACCAAAATTCCCTCTGCAAACTAGCTCAAATATGGCAATTACTTGGGGAGATCAAAAATGGGGACAGTACCCACATGAGGTCCCCCAAGTGTCAAAGGCAGGCGAAATATCCCTTTCCTCCACTTAAAATCCCTTTTCCCAAGACTTCATTTCCTCTGCAAAACTTAATCTTGGTATTACACCCTTTCCACAATCCTTACTATGTTTTCACAGGCAGACTTTTCTTATTTCA